TTTGGCATGTACATCAGTAAACATTACAAAAATGTAACTGAGTCTCTGTAGATTTATTTGCTGAAAGGTATTTATAGATATTGTATAATTGAGTGTTCTGAATGTGTGTGTGCAATTCAAGGGATTTAAAGAGATAGACATAAATTTTTCTTCTTTGCTGTCTGTTTATCTATGACAAGATGAATTCATATAGTAGCCACCAGCAGGTTTGCTACATTAGGCCGCTTTCTTTTGTTCTTTATATTTTAAACTTGATTGTGGAACCTATCAATTTTTTTTTTTGAATGAGGATACCTTGTTTCCATGTAAGGTGATCTGTAGGCATACTGTAAACAAATGCTAACCGAATCTTTCGTTATACAAGGAAACATTTCCTTGCAAGGGGTGGTAGGTACAGAGTGAAAAAGGAAAGGAAGAAGACGATATCTAAAGAGCATACGTCTCTACTGACCTTTTTACTGCTGCTATATGTTGCAGAGTGGAGTCAATAGTATTTCTTGTCTGTGTATGTTGTATAACATACTGTTGCATTTTCCTCCACTTCCTTTGGCTTTCTTGTTTTGGTGCTTATCTTTTTGTACATTCTTTCCACTTTCTAGTTTTGATGCTTATCTTTTTGCAATATCATATGACATGTTTCTCTAGTTATTCATGGTGTTCATAACTTGTATTTTGTTTTACTCTCGGATTCAAACTTGTCATTTGTTTGATTCTTACTGCTACTCCAAAATACCATGCAAAAGATAGCCATGCTATGTTTTATGTGCAGGAGATGAAGCTGCTAACACTGATGATTCATCTTGGAACTTTGATTCTCCAAGAGTTGTTAAAGTTAAAACCTTACATATCAGCTCCCCAATTTTAGCAGCAAGAAGCCCATTCTTCTACAAGGTAAACATCCTTTTTCAAATGTAAGCTGTTAAGCACCGTCTAGAGTTTATACGTGAAGAATCAACAGTGTTCTCTTGTAATTTATGTAGCTCTTCTCCAATGGGATGAGGGAGTCTGAGCAAAGACAAGTAACTCTAAGAATTAATGCTTCAGGTATGAGGAATTTAAGACTCACATTATATCATGCAATGAACTCTTATTGGTAGTTATTTTGGACTGGGCTTTGCTGTGTGAGCATAGTTTTTCCCTTGCCATTTTAATGAGAAATTTGCAAAGCACGGAGAATTTTCTTTCATTTCATCTAGTGCTAGTGATTTGATAATTGTGGGTAAAATATTGTTACCTTAGAGAAGTAGTAGGAATTCCTATCCATTTCATGTGGAATGAATAGTCTTTTTCCATTCCCATGGAGCAGAGGAAGCTGCACTGATGGAGCTCCTGAATTTTATGTATAGCAATACATTGACCACTGATACAGCGCCTGCTTTATTGGATGTACTCATGGCTGCCGACAAGTTTGAAGTTGCTTCTTGCATGCGGTATTGCAGCCGGCAACTGCGTAATTTACCAATGACTCCAGAGTCCGCTTTGCTGTATTTGGAGCTTCCTTCTAGCGTCCTGATGGCTGAAGCTGTTCAGCCATTGACTGATGCCGCAGAACAATTCCTAGCTGCAAGATACAAAGATATTACCAAGTCAGTTCCATTTCTGACCAAATTCTATTTCACTCTATTTCTTCTTATGTTCTATTAAGTTTGTTTTCTGATGCTGCTGTATGTTTGCCAAATAATGATATTTCAGTCTCCACAGCATCCATTGGTCAATGCAGTGGCAATAAATTAGTATTTGCTAGGAGACCTTTTTTATCCAGTGCCGGAAAATTTTTCCTCGAATTCTGTCTACGTCAATCAAAATTGCATCTTCGTTATTATGAATTGTTAAAGAATGAAAAAGTTTCTTTTCCATAGCCCCTAAGTTGTTTTGATGGATTGGGAACAAGTGAAAAGTCGGTCTCCATCTATTGTTGCTTTTGGTGAGTTTTGATTAGCTGTCACACTTCTCTGTCTTGATAATGAGCCCATTGTCTTTGGACAGGTTTCAGGAAGAGGTTATGAAGTTGCCTCTTGCTGGAGTAGAGGCTATTTTGTCCAGTGATGACCTCCAGGTAGCATCAGAGGATACAGTGTACGACTTCGTGTTGAAGTGGACAAGGGCTCATTATCCACAGTTTGAGGAACGACGAGAAATCCTTGGTTCGCGACTTGGTCGTTGCATCCGTTTTCCTTTCATGAGTTGTCGAAAGCTTCGGAAGGTTCTGGCATGTAATGACTTTGATCATGAATTTGCATCCAAGCTTGTTCTTGAGGCCCTCTTTTATAAAGCTGAGGCCCCTCATCGTCAGCGAAACCAAGCTGCAGAAGAATCGTCATCACCTAGTCGTCGTTTTGTGGAGCGTTCTTACAAGTATCGACCTGTCAAGGTGGTTGATTTTGAACTTCCACGGCAACAATGTGTAGTCTACCTGGATCTTAAGCGGGAGGAATGTGCTAACCTTTTCCCTTCAGGAAGAGTGTATTCTCAAGCATTTCATTTAGGGGGACAAGGGTTTTTCCTGTCTGCACATTGCAACATGGATCAGCAAAGCTCTTTCCATTGTTTTGGTCTCTTTCTGGGTATGCAGGAAAAGGGTTCTGTTGCTTTTGCTGTTGATTACGAATTTGCAGCAAGAACAAAACCAGGAGAGGAGTATGTCAGCAAATACAAAGGTAACTACACTTTTACGGGGGGCAAGGCAGTTGGCTACCGCAATCTATTTGCCATACCATGGCCTTCTTTCATCGCTGAGGACAGTCCATATTTTATTAACGGTATGCTCCATCTCAGGGCTGAACTTACTATCAGGAACTGATTCCTTGCTCCCACAATGTCAATTACTATTGTTGTTTTTGCTTCTCGGATGAGTTCAACACCCAATGTTTCTTGGTTTGATAAAACAAAGAAGGCAAGGTTTAGGGCTAACTGTCGTATGCTAGGCATTGAAATATTTTGTACTAAATCACTTTCCCCAGATCCACATGCTCTGCAGAGATAGAAAAGGATGTAAATGGAATTGATGAGTGTAAGAATGTTGGTTACTGTGATATGTCCAAATGTGATACACAGATTGCCCTGAACATTGTTAACATGTTAATAAAAATGTCATGCTGCAGTAGACAGTGTACAACATATGTAGCCGATTCTGTATGAATATGCTAGCAAACTCTTTTTTCTAAATAAACAGCATTCCTGCAGAACCGGGGATACCGAACGGAAGGTGGTAATTAAAACTTACTAGGTGTTGTATGATATGGTTGATTACAGAGTATATTTTTACTGAAATTTGGGGGGTCCCATGCAAGCTCTGGCCATTGGGCTTCAATAGCATTGATGAGGTATCTTGTGCTCTATTTTTGCAATGGATTGGCTTGTTTCTCTACTGCCTGCTGCCAGTTGAACCTCAGCTTGCCCGTGCTAGATAATTTTACTTGGTTTTGAAGCATTCTGTACTTAATCTTCCTTTAGCCGAAGTTATCCATATGCTCTGCTAGAAAAAATGAGAAGGATGTAAATGGAATTGAGGGAGTGGACAAAATGCCAACGAAGCATAAGTTTGTCCTGAATATTGTGATTGTGAATTGGTTCTTTTAACATTTCTATGCAGAGGTAGCAATGTTTCAATACATGTCTATCAGCATGGTACCAAGTAGCAACATTCCCCCCCACCCAACCCAAATAAACAAGTTCATGCTTATCAGCTGCTTTTGGAGTCACATCCAGCAGTAGTTAGAACAGCTCTTAAAATCTAACCACTTCAACTATTTGTTCATTGCACTCAACAATGTTCGTAGCTCTAATGAAATAGAATGGTTTCATGTTCTTTCACAGTTGTTTTATGGAAGAGGAAAATAAACTGAATGCTATACTTGGTTACAAACTCTGGCCCTTTCCCTTTCATTGTATTGGCATATGTTCTGTGTTTCTTCTGCCAAGGGATTCCCTTATTCTTTGATGCTTGCTGCTGATTGAACCTCAAATTGTGCGTCCTAAATTATTTAACTTGGGTTTTTTTTATTTTTGTTAGCACCACGAATGGCACATTATGCTTCTCAAATGGGGTTTCTATAGAACTTTACCGGTAAAAGAAAAACAAATGGAGTAGAACTTTATTGGTGTCAAGAGCCTGATCTAGTTGAACTACCAGAGGAATCTTTAAAGAACGTTGTGAGATGCTCATCCAAAGCTGTTTACCTATTCCTTTAAGAAATCATTTGTCATCATCTCTGAACGCTTCTAGTTAAATCTTAGCTAATTTAACTCCAAAATTGGATAACTGGTCATCTATAACTGAAAAGTATCAAATAAATTGAGACTGAAACAGTATTAGTGTGATAAATGAAATCTTAGAGAATCAATTGACGTAAGTCACGCTTTTGAATAATGGTGGAACATTACTTGTTTTTTTGGCGAATATTTTTATTATCTAAATAAAATAATAGGGAGAGAAAAGAATTTCTTGTTTAATTTTCAATCGGAGATGCATTGACAGCATTGGTCCTTAATACGAGGAAATTCTTCCCAATCACAATAGAATAAAGATAATTGAGTGTACCGCAATCTAATACGTAAAATTATTTGAGTTGACTCTGACGTGTTTAATAGTGTAATAGTTCCTTCGATAAGTTTTGAAATTTTAGATTTGTCCTTTTACAGTATTTAACGTTTTCAAAAAGCAAAAAATAATAAGAGAGATAAACGTAATTTTGACAAATACATAATATGAACCGAAAATAGTTTCTTTTTTTTTTTTTTTTTTACTGAAAAAAGAAAAAATTAGCAACAAAATTGATTTTTTTTATTACTTTTTCATAAATTGAAATTAAAAATGGAAAATGACATGCATACGCTTTTCCACTTTTGCCCTCACATATCAAGGCTCATCACCCACCGCCAAAGAAAGACCAAAGGTTAAAATAGTCAAACCACCAACTGTCGTAGCTTCCACGCTACCTCGGTGGAAAAAGCCAAACGAAACTCATATATAAAGTGGAAAGGAAAACCACAATCAATTAAATAGTTCTCTTTTTTCAGATAAGAAAAAATTGAAGCTTTCTTCAGTCATTTCTAGGGTTTCATTCATATATCGTTCAATCTAGGGTTAAGGGCATCCACCATCAAAGCAAAAACCAATCATGCCGAAGAACAAGGGAAAGGGAGGAAAGAACAGGAAGAGAGGAAAGAACGAAGCTGATGACGAAAAGAGAGAGCTTGTTTTTAAGGAAGACGGACAGGAATACGCTCAGGTTCTTCGTATGCTCGGTAATGGGCGTTGTGAAGCTATGTGTATTGATGGTACAAAACGTCTTTGTCACATACGTGGTAAGATGCATAAGAAGGTTTGGATCGCCGCCGGTGATATCATCCTTGTCGGCCTCCGTGATTATCAGGCAAGATCCTAATTTTTCTCTTTTATTCAAGCTTCGTTGACTCTATTAATTAACTGAGATTTTTGTTCCTTTATTTATCACACCCTTTTTTTTCCTATTAAAAATTATGATTTTGATGGACCAGAATGGTGCGATAAAATATATAGAGAATCGGCTGGTTTAAGATTGAGCTAAAGTTGGTGATCGATTAATTGAAAAGCTGTGTGATTTTGCTTTTCCCTTTCTGTCTGTGTTTTATGTATTTGTCTATGGAATTTTCAGTTTCTAAAGGTGTTGTGGCTTTTATCTTTTTCTTCCAAAAAGAAAAGGAAAGGAAAATGAATGAGTAGATGGTTCATATTTCTCGTTCAATTATTGTAAGATTTTGATAACCTTAATAATAACGCATGATGTGCACTATTGCAGTTTGTGTATTTGATAATTATAAGTGTCATCAGAGTATAAATATACAATTTTATTTTTATTTGCTTATGTTTGGCCATTTAAGTGTCATGAGTATTTCCCCAGGGCTTAGTTCAAGTTGCCTTATGTCTTTAGGGTCACATGCTTGAGCCCTGTGCCATGCGAACTGAGCTTGGTATTTAAGCGGAGAAGAGTAGAGGGGAGGACCAACTACCCCGTTTTGAAGGATGCGGTTGGTCCTGAGTTGGCCGCAGAAGAATTTCTCGGTTAAAAGAAAGCATAAATATGAAGTCTTGATATTTGTGATTCCATGTTAAGAGTGCAGGGGACATCTTTGAGTTTCTAAATGTGCCTCTTCTGTTTGTGAGAATCTTGTCTCTGTAATGTTGTTTGGGCGATTATTCACATCATTAGGTTACTCTTTTTATGTTATCTCAGTTCTTATGGAATGTCGATTTGGCCGTCTCTTTAATAATTTTTTTAAATCTCCTGTTTGGATTTTGGCAGGATGACAAAGCTGATGTGATTCTGAAGTTTATGCCAGATGAGGCGAGGTTGTTGAAGGCGTACGGAGAGTTGCCAGAGAACACTAGGCTCAATGAGGTTAACGGATTGGATGAAGAAGATGATGGTGATGGTGATGACTACATTGAGTTTGAAGACGAGGACATTGACAAAATCTAAATTTCCTGATTTAAATAGTGCTGTCACTGGGGTTCCTGCTGGGCGCTCAAATATTTCTGTGGAGTTTGAATTTAATACAAAAAAGAGAGAACTCTTATATGTACCGTTTGAAGTAATATGATTAAGCTTTATGCATTAGTATTTCTGTATGAAGATTTATTCATGCTTTGATGAAACAGATGCAATAACAGCTACCTGTTCTCTATTTTACTGATGCAACTGTCTGTTGATTTAACAGATGCAATAATAACTTGTGTTGACACTCTTTTTAAGTAAAGGGCCTTCAGAATTGCTTGCTGCAACTCGTTAGACAGGCCTAATTCCATTGTTGAAGACGTGTTGCGTGTTTCTTAGTAAAACAGTGCTCTTTCGATGTTACTTTGAAGAACTAGCTTGGCCAAAGGGACATCTAGGCTTGCTAGTCAATTTGGACCAGCTCCGTGAAGTGCATTTAGTATGGACTAGCTCCTTGAAGTGCATTTATTAGGCTGTTAATATCGTTTTGAGTTTGTGTCTTCTGCTGGCAGAGGGGAGGGGGAACTGGTATTTCGGACCTCTATATCTACTTCTACACTGTTGAACATTGAACCACTTTATCATTGGTGTCTTTTAGACACTGCTTTTGAAGGAACATGCTTAGTAGCTACGACTAAGAATTGATTTTTTAATTTTTTTTTTGGTGTAGTTTCAATGCTAAAAAGTAGTCTCAACTGGGACAATTAGTCTGACGCTTTACAGTGTTGCATTTTGAGAATAATATCTGATGCAGCCCACCAGGCAGGTGAATACTGCCTCTCCAAAATACCAATTTTAGGCATTGGGGGAACAATTTGGATTACTTTCTCGTTTTGCCTTGAAATGCGCCTAAGCAAATGAGACAATGGCCCAGTTTTATTGCCATTTTGTTCATGCATTCAATGTTAAGGGTCAGAGGGGAATGTCCACAACACCACTGGTATACCAGATAGCATTACGCAAGATCAATCTCCCATGCGATAGCGTCCTCACAATTGAGAAATTTGATTAGACTAACTGATTTCTTCTTGTCGCGCTAGCTTAAGGAGTGAAGAATAGTTACTGATGCAGTTAAAAGTATTTAGAAGTTAATTTGCAATTAGATATGAATTTCACGTAGAAAAAATTAAAACTGTGAGTGAACAAATGTTTCACTCTGAAACACAATAGTAATTGTCAGAGTTTGATTTATTCAAGGTTAAGCTTATGAGTTAAACTTTTCTTGTTTAACTTCCAATTTCCACAAAATTTACTAATTCTTTAGCCTATTTACAGCAACCTGATTTCACTACCGTCATGATATGGTAGAAAACTGTATAGTCGTTGGTTTCCAACACTAGGATGCCTGACCTTCAAATACCTTCTTTTTAAACTCTTCATGACTATAAATGTCAGGAGATACATTTACGTCAAAGGGCGAATGAACATATTTTATACAGCTACTCAATTTAGTATTCAAAATCTTAATAAATAGAACTGCTGTCTTACTGTCGTAGTAAGAAAACTTATTTTCAGAAGAAAAAAAGAGCTAGTTAAGCTAAGTAAACTCGTATATATCGGTAGCAGCCTGACCAGATTGAAAGGGAAGAAACAATGACTCCACCGTACAGAGGATATAGATCCCAGAAAGTGGTATTAACAACCAATAAGTAAAGCAACCTGATCAAGAGATTTATAACTAATACAAACCTAGTGCAATGGACCAAGTATATTTTGGCGTAGCAAGACATGACATATCTAAAAAGCAAAAGACGCCAGTTTAACCAAAACAAAGTGAATCGTTGCTGCGTTTACAAGGCTTATTCAACTTCTTGTTTTCCAGTGCCCTCTTGCTGCTAAATAACGGATGCATACCGCTACAAGGCCACCAGAAAACATTGCAATCTCCATAAAAAAATCCTTCCAACTGCATTTGGAATCAAATTACCAAGTCAATGAATTTATCAATCACTAGTTATTTTGCTCGACTCATATAACAGGCACAAGTTTCATATCAAGACAAGAAAAATAATCACAGTAAGATGAAAGAAAGTCAAAAGGAGGGGGAGAAGCTGTTAAGCTCATCAATACATAACCTCAATGATAAGAAAGCCTAACATCTAATACTTTGAGGGTTTACTTAATGGAAATAGCATGAAACGCAATCTATTCATTGACAAGAACATAAGAAAGAGATAATTAGTTCCCCACAATAGGTTGTTCAGAGAAAGGAGGATTTTAATCCTTGCATCAATGCTTTCATACAGTAGTTAGCATGCTTATCATAGAATATTACAGTCAGTACAGGAATCTAGTTAGATAAAGGTTAAATACCAATAGAAAATTCACTATCGCTATGATATCAATTTTATACTAGTTTCTGCAGAAGCTTCAATGTCATTACTACAAGCTGAATTTCAATTTTATCAAGAATTTTACCATCTAGGTTGAGTTCCAACTTCACAAAACCATGGTAAAGATAGCACCAAGTTCAATACTTGAACATTATTACTAATATGGTAAACACCTTTTTTTGAAAATGGTAACATTAATATGGTAAACACCTTGACAATCAAGAAATAGAATTTTCTTAAGTCCAGTACAGTGCCGAATCACTCATTAAACCATGAATCAGAATAAAAGAGCTTGCCTCACCATGAGTAAATATTTCATATTAGCCTCATTAGACAGTACATTCTTGGTATATCCAGATAATATGTAAGAGCATAAACTGAAACATTCTGGGGATACAAAGATAGTTATTACAGTAACCAACCCAGTAATAGTGCTGGTTACAGATGTGTTTGGGATGCCATAAAAATAACTAAACATTTTTTTCTTCATGGAATCATTTTCCTGATAGGCCTCGATGAAACTGAGTTACCATAAAGGTGGGAACACAAACTTTCATTGTTAAGTGCATACTCATTCTCAGTTACAAGTATCTCAGCTCTTCTCATATATGACTTGCTCTCGGCACATGTATGTCACTTTTTGCTACTCAAAATATCACCAAAATACTTTCGCCAAACCCAATCCATCTTCCACTACTGTCATCTGCGATGTAACTCCATACTCAACCAAACACTGAAATACTTAACGAAGTCATCTTTTATAAGAAATGATGGAGCATTATACATTATACAAAAACGTTGTATACTGAGGAAGCTCGCATTTCAGCCTACTAAATCCCAAGGACAACCCCCCCCCCCCCCCCCCC